TTTCTTTGAGCTCAAGGCTACTCTGGTCTATCTAAGTAAGTTCTAGACCAGTCAGAACTACACAGTGAGACTCTGTCTCAAAACAACAGCAAAGATAATGGCTCCTGAGTAACACTGACACCTGAATGTGTATTCTGGTTTACACAAACACGTGTGTGCATACACACACACACACACACACACACACACAAGAAGAGAGATCTAAGTGCAGTACTTACTTGTCTAGCATGCATAGGACCTAGGTTCACACAGCTGACACCCATGCCCCCAAACAGATTTGGCTCTGGTTTTCCAAAGTAGCAAATTTAGAACTTATTGGGAAAATCTCTCCCAAGCTGCATCCTTTTTCACTGGTTTACCAGTTGTGTCTGCTCTGGTAGATAAGGGTTAACATCACTCCGTACAAGAGGTCAAATGAGACCAACGGATTTCTCATTGAAACAACTGTGTCTCTCCCCACCTCATCCTTACCAGCAGCTTTCAAAGACCAAGGTCAAAGATCAATTGATAACTGTGCTCTGGTGACTGTTCCCTGAGAGTTCCACCTCAGGCTTAATATCAGGACACCCCTTTGATATCTGGGTACCCCTAACATTCACCATTCTTTCAGTAACCATACATAGAAGGGGCAGAGATAGAATGGACCTAGCCTTCTTGTCCTCCATTTTGCTTTGACTTCTGGACAATTCCAGAGAGGAATCTCCTCCTAGGACACACCTGGGCCACTGTCAGCCCTGGGGGCACCAAGCTCTGCCTCCAGGAAAGAATCTTCTGTTGGCCGAGTGAGTGTTGGTTCCTCTGGAAGACAGTCAAAAGTGAGCAGTGGTGGCGCACGCCTTTAATCCCAGCACTCAGGAGGCAGAGGCAGGCGGATCTCTGTGAGTTCGAGGCCAGACTGGTCTACAAGAGCTAGTTCCAGGACAGGAACCAAAAAAAACTATGGAGAAACCCTGTCTCGAAAAATCAAAAAAAAAAAATTGAAGTTCGATTGGTCCCAGGAGTGAACAGACAATCCAGACCCCCAGCTATGGACAAGGACAGAGGCAGAACTCACCCACGGTTGGAACCTGGAGGTGCTGTTGGAACCTCCTGATGTAGGCCCATAAGACCCTTTGTTTCTCTACCAAGACAAATGTTTAGAAGCACCGATCCCAGATTATCAGGAGGTTTTGTGGTTTCTGTAAGATGCCTTGGCTACCCTTGAAGGTACTCAGGACTCTCCCATGGGTGTCAGGGCCCTGAGAAGTGGGACCTTGAGCATTGCTAAGTGGAATGGATATTTACATTTTGGGGTGTCCAAGTCCCTCTAATTAGGCTGGGAAATAGAAAATAGCTAAAGGATCTTGGGGTCCTTTGAAACAAGAAGACTAGTACCCTGCTAAAGGATCTTGGTGTCCTTTGAAACAAGAAGAAGGCTAGTACCCAGCTAAAGGATCTTGGGGTCCTTTGAAGTAAGAAGAAGGCTAGTACCCAGCCCCTACAGAAGGCATTCCAGCCACTCTCCTATCCGTTCCAAACTCTAAAGGTGTAGTGATAGTTTGTGGGTTTTTTTTTTTTTTTGGATTTTCGAGATGTTGGACTCTAGCGTCCAAACACCGAGGAGTCGCCCCCAGAGACCACCTCACACACCACAGCTGATGTAAAAGCATGAGGATTTTATTAATTCTGTCATGACAGGGTCCCCCAGCATTCGGGAAGTTGAGGGACCTCGAATAGCTGGTACAGTCTACTTTTAAAGGGGCCACAGAAGCAAGGGGGGTTGTTCTTTGACTATTCTGATTGGCTTATTCGAAAAGGCTATTACCAATAATTGACTGGAGAGCTGTTGTCAGATCAGATGAGGTAAGAGGTCATTTTGATCCCGTTTCCCAGGGGACCGAACCAAAACATACGTATATGGGTAATTGTTCAGGAACTGAGTACTTGCGAATGTAGCTGTTAGGTCCTTGGTTCCCAGGGGAGGAGGGGAAGCACTATGGCACAGAGGCTGAGAGGATTCAGAATTGTCGAAAATGGCTTCAGGATTGTCTTAAAGTCTTACAGAGACAGGGTTTCTCTGTAGTTTTTGGTGCCTGTCCTAGAACTAGCTCTTGTAGACCAGGCTGGCCTCGAACTCACAGAGATCCGCCTGCCTCTGCCTCCTGAGTGCTGGGATTAAAGGCGTGTGCCACCACCGCCCAGCTTGATAGTTTGTGTTTTAACAAATAAAGTTTGCCTGAAGAGCAGAGTGCAGAGTCAAGCCACTAGAGTCCAGGCAGTGGTAGCATGCACCTTTAATTCCAGGATTTGGGCGACAGAGGCCTGTTAGTTCCAGGCCAAGCTGGGCTACATGAAATTGATCCAATATAAAAGAGAAATAGAGTTCATACAAAGGTCATCCTGGCACTTGGATCACGTGCTCTTAATCCCAGCACTAGGGAAGGTGGAGATAGGAGTGATGAGGCTGGGCAGAGAGAGGAATATAAGGCGGGAGGAGACTGTGAAAGACCCCAGTGGTGGGCAGTCTTTCAGGCTGAGGAGACCCTCCCAAGGAACAGCGAGACCACTCTTCGGATGCAAATAGCAAGAGGCTTTATTCAGTACACAGGTACCTGGGGCGACTTAGTCTCTCGGGAGACAAGCGCGCCCTCAGGTTGGGGCAGTGAATTTTTATAAAGTGGTGAGGCAGAAGCGCGGGTACAGAAGCGAGACGCATAGTTACAGGGTTCTGATTGGGCAATTCAAATAAGGCTCGGGTGCAGTTCTATGGTTTCCAAGAAATCAGACATGCATGCTGACTTGGCCCATCTAAGGCACAAACTCTTCCTCTGGACCCCAAGTCCCCTGCTGGCAGTCCAGATGGTCGACCATAGATATCTTGTCTGGCTTCAACGCCCCTGCCCCTAAGTTGGCCAACGCCCTTATCTCTAAATTGAATTCCCCTATCCTAGCTTTTAGTTATATTGCTAGAAGAATTCAAACCTTGTAAAATAGCGTTATGGCTGCTGCTAACTTAATGCTGCTAGGTGGGGGTCTTTCACTGACTATAGGCATCCTGTTTCCCTAAGCAAACGGGATGTTCTTATGAGAGCAGGCCAGCTTTGGGTTCTGGGAGGGGGTGTCCAGAGGGCCTTCTACTTTCCCTGTTTCTAGTTGGCTCCTTATCGCTTGGGGCCAGATGACTGACTGCCTGGCCTCTCCGCCCTTGTTCTCAAGTCGAACCTCCCTGCTCTAATTTTACTTATGTTGCTTTAAAGTTTAAGCCTTGCAAAATGGCGTTACTGCTGCTTAACTGCTGTCTATACTGAGTGGGGGGTCTTTCAACTGGAATTCATTGCAGTTTGAAGAGCAGTCTGAGGAGCAGTCTGAGGAAGCTGTCTGAGGCAAGATCACCCCTTTGGTCTGAGCATTGGTAGAGGTAAGGACTCTAGTGACTGGCTACTCTGCTTCTCTGATCCTTGATCCTTCAGCTTTCACCCCCTGATAGCTGACTCTTGAGTTTTTAAGACCTATTAGAACTTGCATTACACAAAGGTAGCACCATTGTGAGGATTCGGGAACAGAGCTGTAGCAATACTTCTGTCTTGTGGCTCCGGTTCTGTGAAAGGGCCAAGTGCTTCCACTACTTCATCCATGAAACCCAAGCTTCCCTCATGACTCCCAGCCTGGACTAGGAAGCAGTTGTCCAGGGGGCCCTTTGTTAAGAGCCATGGCGTCAGCATGGTGGTGCTTGCCTTCGATCCCAGCAATTCAGGGCTGTGCAGAGACATCGACTTAAAAAAGTTTTGGAGGGCTGGAGAGATGGCTCAGTGGTTAAGAGCATTGCCTACTCTTCCAAAGGTCCTGAGTTCAATTCCCAGCAACCACATGGTGGCTCACAACCATCTGAAATGAGATCTGATGTCCTCTTCTGGCCTACAGGCAGACACACAGACAGAATATTGTATATATAATAAATAAATATTTAAAAAAAGTTTTGGAAACAATTTTGACTGTTCATCTGAGCTCTCAGGTTCCTAGGGTTAATCTCGACCTGGGTCCTCAAGTGCTGTGAGGGGTGGGCTCTCAACCACCCTGCTGCCTACAGGACGTAGGTAGGAAGGCCTAGTTTGCAATCTCCCCAGCCACAGGATGGGGATTGTGGGCAGTGTTAAGACTGAAAATGGGACTTGGTGCTGTTGAAGTGAACTGGCTGAGCCACATCTTGGCACTACATCTTTGCACACATTCCTGGGCCAGTGTCTTCAGGCCCACACTGATGCACTATGACTTACAAACTGACCATCTGGAGCCCCAGGTTTCCGTGTATCACTTTTAGCCACACCTATACACCAGTCGTTCATGGAGTAAGCTGGGGTAGGCCCCATGCTCAGGAGGAGAGGAGGGCCTACTGCTTTACAGGAGGTTTATTGACTATCCTGAGACACTCCTACCAGACACACTCCATTTTGACCTGATCCATTGCCGGAGACAGAAGTAAGCCCTGGGGTGTAGAATGTCCTAGACGTTGCCAGGAGTCACCCTGATGTCTGAAAAGGCTGGAGGCAGGGGCAGCAGACCAGAGACCTGACCTTTCAACCCCAGATCAGTCTCTCCTTTCTGGAATTCCCCTCACTGAGCTTAAAAGGAGCTTGCGACCTTTGAGGGTCGCCAAGTGCCACCACAACACTGGAATTAATAGAGTGCTCTTGTTATTGCATATGTGGCTGGCAGTCATTTTGGGGGGCTTCTCCTGGACCCCAACAATGTCCTATACTATACATTAGGTTATTTTAGAAAAATGTTCAATAGCCCCCAGGCTAATCCTAACTGGGCGCCTGTGGCTCTTGCCATGTACATGCCGCAGACTCCCATACTGAACCAGATAGGTTTGGACTTGTCTTTGTGGCCACCACCTCCAGGCAGCCCTCCCTGGCACTCAACCTGCTCCGCCCCCAAAATGGGGGGGGGACTAGAGGTCAAGGGTCACCAGGCGGGCCAGGTCCCGGAAGCGGAAGCGCAGTACACTTCCGGCTCGCAGCAGGCGGCCATGTTGGAGCGGCGGAGGCGGCGCAGAGGTGCGTCCTGGTTCCCCGCGGCGGCGCCGGTAGGTTGGAGCCGCGGGCCTAAGGGTGCCGCAAAGTGGCGGCCGGTGATGCCGCAGGGCGGCAGGGCGATGGGGCTGGGTGGCCGACCCTCCCGGATCCTCATTCTCCCCGGGCTTGGCCGAGACACCCCACCCCCACCCAGGACCCCACCCTGGGGCTGTGCGGATCCTGTCGGGCTACCACTTACACATTTCGTCGCGCCTTGACCCCGACTCCCGGTCGCGGTTCGGGCCCCGGGGACACGGTCTCAGCCTGAGGGCCCCGGTCTGCCCCGACCCCAGGCTGTCTGATTAGTACTTCTCCTACCCCCAGTTTTCTGTCAACTTCCTCTATCTGCTGGCCCCAAAGGAATGTGCGAAGGCAAGTGTGCTTGGCTGCAGCTCTGTTTACAAAGCTTCTTGGAAGCCAAGAAGCACTCCCAAGGGCTCAGACTGACCTAGACCCTCGCCCCCCACTCTCAGCGCCGGAGGTTTGGGGTAGGAAATAGGTCCCTCTCTGTTATACAGTTCACAGCCTACCCCTTCAAAAAAAATAAATAAATAAATAAAGAACTAAAGTCATGTGCAAGGATTGTACTTGGAGAGCATCCTCTGGGGGAGGGGAAGTGCCTCAGACACCTGAGGATCCAAGAATGTTTCTAAACAAAGAGCCCCAGGGCACTTTCTCTGGGGATTCTGAAGACCGTCTCTCTGCTCCATTAGAGCTGTGCAGAGCGGCTGCACAGACGGGCCTCAGGGCCCCAGGGATCTGCCTCATCCCAGCTGATCTTTTAATGCTCCAGTGCAGCTGGGGAGTTTACCTCTAGAATCCCTCCAGTGCTGCAGCGATGCTAGCTGCAACTCAGGATTGCCGCTCATCACTCTTTAAGGAGGTGTAGCGCAATTTGCAGGGTCCCAGACAACTGCGTCTGTGCCATATTGAGGTCTGCTACCCTTTGAAGTCCAGTTAGGACAGCTCAGGCCTTTAATGACCGCTTGACCTATCTTAGATGCAACTTTATCTTCCATTGGCTTCATAGCTTGGACTTCTTGGTCTAGCTGCCTGGCCCCTGCTCTCGCCTTAGAGATGTTTGCACCTGTTATTCAACAGCTTTTTTTTTTTTTTTTTTTGAGAGTCTAGCTCTTTCGTTGGGGGGTTGAACTCCAAGACTAGAGCGAGGACTTGGTCTTTGGAGTACCCTGTCTGTAGACCCTGAAAGCCGCCTCTGCTAGGCAGGGAGATCAGCCACCCCTCACTGGAACACTGGCAGCTGGGGTGGACACCGAGCATAAGTCTGGAGCAGTTGGGCCTGTGTTCAAAGCCCTCAGTCTGTATTTTCAGCAGGGTCCCACCATTCGCCGTGTGTTCCTTACTCTTTCTTACTTCACAACCACTTCATAAACTGTCACCCTTTTGCTCCATCTGTACCTGCTGCTTTTGTCACTCGCCTAGAGTTACTGCTCTTGGGAGACCTTCCCTAACCTCTTAGTAAGCTGACCTGGGGACACCATACACTCCCAGGAAACTTCATGGTAACTGTGTCCTGACTTCAGGACTGGGCTCTTAGAGGATAGAGATATGTTCTTGTATTCCTGGGACTGAGTCTAGATGTTTGACGTCAAGAAAAGACAAAACAAACCAGGCATGGTAGTACAAGCATGTTGTCCTAGCTGCTTGGGAGCCTGAGTGGGAGGATCACTTGCACCAACCAGTTCAAGACCAGCCTGGCAACATAGCAAGCTCTATTTCAAAGAGTAGAAAAAATGCAGAATTTAGCCGAGCTCTTGACACATGCTTGTAACACTGACACTTGGGAGGCCACAACGGGAGGATTACCAATTTGAGGCCCGTTTGGACTATATAGCAAGCTCCAGAACCGCCAGAGCTAGTGAGACCCTGTGTTCCAAACGACTGAGTATGGTAGTGCTTGCCTGTAACCTAGCACTGGAAAGCTAGTGGCAACGGGATTGGGATTCAAGGCTAGGCTAGCCTGTGTGAGACCTTAAAGCAAGAAAAGAAAAATGCCAGTGATTTAAAATGAGCCAGACTGAAATCTTCCCAGAAGCCCAGCAATAGGCTAGATGGCTCTCAGGTGTTTCTGATCATATATCCTAAAGAAACACCAACATGGGAGAAGGTCAGGAGACTCGAGAATGATTTGTAATGGCCAGGCCCATCTTTCATAGTGGGAGCCTTGCTTGACTTACCAACCTGTCCTAGGTCATACCTTGGTACCATTCTTATCAACTCTTTTCTTTTTGTTTTGGAGGTGCCAAGTGCTGATTTGTGGATACCAAGGCAGATTCCCAGTGTCTAATGCCATGAGCATGGTAGTGCAGCATGTGGAGGAGAAAGCTGTGCACTCCTGGTCACGCATCTCCACGGCAGGGAAGAAAGCCCTGGAAGAGGCGCTGCTTGTGTTTAATCCCATGAGCCAGGATCTCAGTGCCACAGAGGCCCAGCTTGTGGCCTTCCTACAGGGCCTACGAGACGATGGCTTCCAACCGACCATTCTGCGAAGTGGTGATGTCTATGGCTATAGTTCATGCACAGCCAACCCCCCCAGCCAGACAAAGCTACAAGCTCGCGCCACCAACCCATCTGCCACAGCACTTCCAGCCAGGGGTCCCCGGACTGCTGTGCCGCTTCCAGCAAGCCAGGCCACACTGCTGCCTGTGCCACTGTCTGGCAGGCTGGCTAAGGGATCCACACCAGCCCTGGCCAAGCATGCTACCACTAACCTGTTGCTGAGCTCCCTGAAGCAGTCCAGTGCCAGCCACACCAATGGTACCACAGTCGGCTTCCCTGCCCACCTCTATCCAGGTGTCTACCCTGCCATGCAGCTCTCTGTGGTTCTTGAAGCACTGGTCCCACTCAAGACTCCTTGCTTTGGGGATAAACACAGGGCACAGTCTCTGCAGCAGTCACTTGCAAACTCTTCCCTAAAACTGAAGAAAGGTTCGGGGAACCCACAATCCAAAGCATCCAGAAAAATCACAAGCAAGGGCCTCAAATGCCTGAGTAAGAAACGTCCTGGGGCTGCTCAGCGAGGTGCTGGGACCCAGAGCAGTGGCCTACGCATAAAAGGGTGCTCTGCCTCGGGCACCAAAACAGTCCAGGCCAAGGCATCTCGAAAACTGACCAAAGCTGCTCGTGCCCATGCCAGTCTAGCTCAAACCCAGAACAAGACAGCAAGGGCCAAGGCAGCAAAGCCCAAGCCCAGGGCAGCCAAAGCCAAGGCCACTGTGGTGAGGGACAAGGCCAAAGCCAAGGTAGTCAAGGCCAAGGCCAAAGCAGCTCAGACCAAGCACAAGGGAAGGCCAAAGGGATCTGTCCATACCAGAACTGGAAGGGCAAGCCTGAAAAATTGCCCTGAGACTGTGGGGAAGAAGAGGAAGAAGGCTGAGGATGCAAAGGGTCTCCCTCCTAAGAAGAGAGCACGGCTTGTGCTCCGATCCCCTAAGGCATGGCTGGGGCCTGGAAAGAAACCTCACAAGTCCCAGACTATAAAGGTAGACAGGAAATGCTCAGATGATGAGGTTCGACAGTGGGCCCAGCAGATCCTCCGCGTGAACCTCTCTCCAGTAGTGTGGCTCCAGCCACTGCTACCGTCTTGATTCCGTACTCAACATCCTGAGCTGTCCGTGTGACCAGCAGCACAGTGTGCCCTGCTCGTGGACTTTGCAGCTCCCTGGACTCTGGGTACCTTCTGAACCCTTGTGGTCACCAACCTCCTTTCAGAAACTGAGGATTTGGGAAGGGTGGGTGTGGGAGGGGTGTTCTCATGGCTCAGTGCACTGTGACTTGTCCCTCGAGTTGTATGTCTGATGTTCATCTATCATGTTTTATACCTTTCCACCTTGTAGTCTCCCTGCTCACCCTCCATGCTCTCATTGATGATTGATTTTTCCGTGTGGGGGCTGCTGGCAGGAGCCCGCCAGAAGTAGTCCTGGGAACAGGCTTACAGAGAGTACCCTGGCAGCTTGAATGAAGCAGGCCATCGGTTTGAATGCTAGGGTGATATGGAAGGACAAAGCTCCCAGGCTTCTAGAGAGATGTGGGGAAATCCGGGTGCTGCTTCTGTAGATGTGTGAGAGAGATCCTGAGGGCGGGGCAGAGCCGCGACGAAGTAGGGCAACTCACCTTGAGTGTCCCAGTTTTGAACCAGATGGGCCCCATTCAAGATGGGGAGCCACTCTGGCAAACCCCGCAGCTGCAGGGTTTTAGGCCAGGGAAAGAAGTATTTGCTGTACTGCTCTCTAGAGGCCAAGCTTTAGGGCTTTGCCTGGGCTTGTCTGGGGAGAGGGAACAGGCTTAAGAGGTGTGAGGTGCTGCTTCTCTGCTGAATGTGACTAGCCTCAGTTTTCTCCAGAGGCTGGGCTTCGGATCTGGGCCACTAAACCTGCCCTTACTGTCCAAAAATTTTCGCTGTAATAACTGGTAGTGGATACAGGAAGGCGTCTACCTGTACCTCAGCAATGCTTTCTGACTGGATTCCACATGCTCCATCTTCCTCAGAGGTCCAGCCTGACCGTCCCCTAACATGGCCTGTGCTTTGGACATTGTTGTTACCTTCTGCTTTGGAGAAGAGGCTGGGTCATCTGTCATCCACTGTCCTCTGCTAGCCGCTCAGGCTGGAGGAAGGTAGTGGTTGGGAGGTAGGGAATGGGCAGTCCCTGCACTTGGGAATTTGAGTATGAGTTTGAGGTCAGCATCAGCTACCCCCCCCCCCCCCCCAAACCTCTCTCTCTCTCTTTATTTTGTTTTTTCGAGATAGGGTTTCTCTGTGTAGCCCTGGCTGTGCTGAAACTCTCTTTGTAGATCATGCTGGCTTCGAACTCAGACATCTACCGGCTGGGAATACAGGTGTGTGCCACCAGATCAAGCCAGGGCACTGGAGAGATGGCTTAGTGGTTAAGAGGACTTAATTGCTTTCCAGAGGACCTGAATTTGGTGTCCACAAAAAAAAAAAAAAAGGCAGCTCACAAAACACTCCAGGGGATCCCACACCCTCTTGCTTCTGTAGTCAGAGGCAGGCAGAAAAAGGCAGAAAGAAAGAAACACATAGACAAATCTTTGTTTTGTTTTGTTTTTAAAGGCACAACTGGATAAAACATCAACTCTTTGGGAAAAGGCTATCTTGAGAATCTTGAACTTTAGTGATGTCGATAAAGCAAAGGAATCGTGTGAAATCCCTTAAATAAAAACTTAACTGGCTAGGCTGGAAAGATAGGCTGGAGTTTAAGAGCACTGGTTGCTCTTCCATAAGACTCAGGTTCAGTTAGGCAGACATGTAGTGCAGACATGTATGCAGGTAACATCCTTATACACATAGAAAATGAGTTATAAAACTTATTGTCTTTACAACAGCAGTAAGAACAATATTAATAATGGGTCAAGCCAGGACTGGGAGATGGCTTAGTTGGTGAAGTGCTTTCTGTGCAAGCATGAGGACGTAAGTTCGGATCCCTAGAACTCAAGTCAAAGCCAGGTGTGTACCTGGACACCAGCACCGAGTCGGGCAGATCCAGCCAATCTAAATTAGAAAATCCGGGTTCAATGAAAGACCATAGCTTGAAAAACAAGATGGGCCGGGCAATGGTGGCGCACGCCTTTAATCCCAGCACTCGGGAGGCAGAGGCAGGTGGATCTCTGTGAGTTCAAGACCAGCCTGGTCTACAGAGCTAGTTCCAGGACAGGCTCCAAAGCCACAGAGAAACCCTGTCTCGAAAAACAAAAAAACAAAAAAAAACAAAAAACCAAGATGGAGGCTAGAGAGGTGGCTCTGTAGTTAAGAGCATGTACTGTTCTCACACAGAGAACCTGAGTAGTTCTCAGTACTCCTTAGGTGTCTCACAGCCACCTGCAACTCTAGCTCCAGGGGATCCGATTTTCACTTCTGCCCTCCGTGGGTACCTACGTTCACACACACACTTAAAAAATACAAATTGAAGCCGGGCGGTGGTGGCGCACGCCTTTAATCCCAGCACTCGGGAGGCAGGGACTGATGGGTCTCTGAGTGAAAGGCCAACCTGGTCTGTTTAACCAGGTCCAGGACAGCAGGGCTATGTAAAGAAACTGTTGAAAAAAATCTGTTAGAGACCAGGTCTCTCACTATGTATCTTTGAGGGATCTGGCACTGGCTATGTAGACCAGGCTAGTCTTGAACTAGAGATCACCTGCTTTGGTTTCCTGAGTGCTGGGATTAAAGGCATGTACCACCAGCCAGTTATTTATAAACTAAATACTGTTTCTTAAAAACACATAAGATTGGGAACTAGAGAGTTGCTAAGAGCAGTTGTTGCTGTTGCAAAGGACCAGGGTTACATTCCCAGCATCTACAGAGTACCTCACAACCACCTTGTGACTCCAGTTTGAGCAAATTCTGCCCTCTTCTGGCCTCCAAGGACACTGCATGGGCATGTTATACAGCCATACATGCAGGCAAAATAAAAATATATAAATCTTTAAAAAAATAAGATGGAGACGCCATTGAGGAAAACATCCTATCATCAACCCTTGGCTTTCATATGCACCTGCATAGGCAAGAATGTATGTCACACATACACACACAGGAGAAAGCATGCTCAAGACCAAGCCAGAAAGGAGGAGGAAGAAAGGAGGCATTCCAAGTTTTGGTGCATGTGTGTAATCCCAGAACTCAGGAGGCTGAAGCAAGAGAATCTCAAGTTTGAGACCAGCCTGGACTACACAAAACTCTTGTCTCAGAAAAGAAAAATCCTAAAGGGGTGGGGGTAGGGAAGGGATCCTTGTGACAAAGTATTCATGATACTGTCACCTCCCTTTCCACATATCAAGTGGGGCGGTTATTCTACCCAGCCCTTTCTGCTTTGAACCAGGAACAAGACACTGATGGTTTGGAGAATAAAGGGAGATCAGCAGTCTGTGCAGACCACTGTCTTTCTGGATTCTGGGAGGTTCTTGGTGCTTTGGGGGACACAGGATTTATGCAGTGCAGCTGTCAGTCATGCAGGAGATCACAGGCCTAGACCTGTACCAAGAGGATTGACCTACCAGTGGAGAATGTAGGAAGGATAGAATTGGAAAGGACGAAGAGTGAGACTAGGCAGGGGCTGGCAGTTTACAAGACCAGGAGAAGGACTTACCCCCAGGAGATCTGAACCATGGAAAAGATTTGAGCAGGAAAGTGGATTGTTTGGAAGGAAAGCCTATGGACTCTGCGTAAATGGCTCTGAGCGAGAGTTGGCATTGTCTGGAATGCCTTTTGAGAGAGAGGAGGTAAAGATTCAGAAGACACTAGGAAACAGAAATAGGGCCTGAATGAGCTGTGAGGAGGGGTGGCAGGCGTTGGCGAGTGAAGGTGGGCCTACTGATCCCACCCGGCGCTCTCTACCCGCCTGCTAAATTACGCTCCTGTGGCTGATAAAGGTAGCACCTGAGCTGGGTCGCACAGGCCGCAGCCACACATTTGCAGGAGTTCCCTTGCAGGCTTCGTGGGAACAAGAAAGACCCCAACACTGTGGCTGAGACTCGAACTTGGGGGCAGCCCATATGGTTCACTGAACACTAAGTGTGTCTTGAGCGAGCAATGCCTCCACTGTCCCCAAATCATTGATCAACACCTACAACCACCATGCCTGGAACGTATGCTTTTTGAACTAGCATCTGCAGTGGTTAGTTTTCAGGGCCAGCAGGTCTGAGGTTGAGGGCCTACCATCTCCTTTATCTGAATGATTTCCTTGCCTTGTCGGTCTTCCCAGGGTGTCACTGTACTGTGGAGCAATTTTCACTGAGATAAAAGCATCCACTTTGGAGGGAAGTTCCTTAAAACTTTGGATGTTCTAAACTAAATCTAAGGGAGGCAAAACATTCCTTTCTCAGGGAGGTTCCTGAAGACACAGGATGTTCTAAGGGGAAGTGAAACATTCCATCCTTCAGGGAGGCTTCTTAAAATACAAGATATTCTGCTCTGCGATGGTGGCACTTGCCTTTAATCCCAGCAGAGACAAGTGGATTTCTGAGACCAGCCTGGTCTACAGGGTGAGTTCCAGGACAGCAGGCTGTTACACCCATAAATCCTGTCTCAGAAAAACAACAATAAAAGAGATACAAGATATTCTAAGGGGAAGTGAAACAGCCCAGTCTGCAGGGAAGCTTGTTAAGCTCAGGAATTCAGGAAGTCCTTGAAGCTGGTATGACTAACTAGGCCCCTTCAGTCTAAGCAGATAGTGGTAGTAAGGACTGCTTTGAGACCTTCCTAGACTAGTTAAGCTGACCAGCTAGACTAAGACTGACTAAGCTGTCTGGAAGAAACAGATCTGTCAGATCGCCTAGAAGTGGCAGAAACAAGCTGCCTGGAAGAGGCTCAGGCTGATCAACTGTTGAAAAGCTGCAGACTGCATTATTCTCCAGGCTTCCAGCTTTCATGGTCTGTCACCCATGCTGGGATAGGCCTTGGTGATACAGTTGTCTTCAGGTCATTTCTGATCCTGTAAGTAACCCCAATAAAACTCATTGCTTCACCAAGTTGGGCTTTGCTGGTATCTGTACATTGTTCTGTCCTTGATTCCCTGCCTGGAGTGAGTAGACTTTTGTTAACATATCCCTTAGGAATAGTGCCACTTACGACACTCTTAGATTGTTTCAAACTGGAATGCCGGGGGCTGTTCATGTAAGATAACAAGGCATACCAGGCAGTGGTGGTGCACTGGGGAGGCAGAAGCAGGCAAAGCAGGCAGATTTCTGTGAGTTCGAGGCCAGCCTGGTCTACAAGATCTAGTTCCAGGACAGGCTCCAAAGCCACAGAGAAACCCTGTCTCAAAAAAAAAAAAAAAAAAGAAGAAAAGAAAAAAGAAAAAAAACAAGAAAGATAAGTGTTTTCACTTCTGTAAACATGGTTGGTTGCCCCAGCCATGATCAACATATCACATATGGGAGGTACCACACGGGCAGGAAGTATGTCAGGATGTATGCTTGCCTCCACTCAATTGGTTTTGCCTACTAACATCATTCACAGCCATTTTCTAGGAATCCCAATATGGGTTTGGCCCGTGTCCATCGTCCTAGCCAGTATTTAACACATTTAACAAATGCTTCAATTTTGGCTCAAAACTTGTGATAGTGGTCTTATTCGCGGCCAATGGGATTAAAAATAGAAAGTGGAAAGACAGGCTTGGTCTGACCTTCAGTGGGACCATGTTTTTAATTCATGGCGAGGGAGCATTTTGTCACCCACATGTGCAAATGGACAAAATGCCTATAAAGGAAGATAGGATGTGGCCTCTCATGGGAATGACTTCTGTAGTCTGTAGGGAACTCTGGGAAGTGTAGTCTTTCAGCAGGAGACTCTCAAACACTGTCATACTTAAGGTGCTACCCACTTGGGCTATTTATAACTCTGTGAGGGGGCAGTGCCTATGCAGGCAAGGCTTGGCTGGTTGCACTGTGACGGTTGCTTCCCTAGCTAGTGGAGCCTCCTGTAGTGTGCTTCCTACTTGCAAGTGTCTGCCATTCATGGGCCAGGAGGGGAGTAGCAGGGGGGCGGAGCACTATGGGTCAGTACTGTGAAAGGTGAGCACTTCCAGACAATTTAGTATGCTCCTGCCTTTCTTTAGATGTTTGTGTGGCTACTATGGAGACTAATGTAATGGAACTACTGTGTGTTCTCCCCTCCCAGACAGACTTGAACTTTCTGACTGTGTATGTAGAATAAAGGTCCTAAATGCCGGGCGATGGTGGCGCACGCCTTTAATCCCAGCACTCGGGAGGCAGAGGCAGGCATATCTCTGTGAGTTCGAGACCAGCCTGGTCTACAAGAGCT